CCGCCCGCCCCAGGCACGCTCGCTCCCGGCTGCCCCGCGGAGCTGTGAGCACAGTCGCCGGTCCTCCGGGCAGCGGGAAGGAGGGGATTCCCTGCGCGCCGCTGGCGGGGGTTTCTCGGCGGAGCTCTGCGAGTGCGGTCTGACTGTAATTAACAGTAAATACTTTGTCCGGGAGGACTGGCCCACAAGAGAGAATCCAGGGGTTTGTGCAGCGTATAGGTTAGGTTTCTCCTGTCAGCAAGGCGACAAACAGATCCCCGTGCATCGATCTCGTTCCGTGAGTTTTTGGTAGGGTTTCAGTTGCAGCTCAGTACCGAAATGATGAATAAAAATCATGAAGGTGACTTGCTCTGAGGGCAGCTACACCGTGCACACTGCATCATTGTATTTGATCCTCCTGTTGTTTTTGTAACAAATGCAAAAGGTTGGTTGTGCCTGAAAAAAATTATTTTTTTTTTCTTTTGTTTGGTGAGGCTCGATTGTTCTAGCACCTGTTTCTTCTGTGACTTCATCGTTGGGTCAGATGGATAGGATGGAAGTTTGGGTTGGGTGGCATGAAGTACCCATGCACCTGCCTGTTGCCTTGGTTCACAAGGGGGAATCCCAGCTTGTTACAGGTCAAAATAGTGGCAGAGTGTATGATGTACTGCTGTACAGTGTGCACCCATGTCCATACATCAGAAGAAGCTATGAATTAGTTCAAGGATAAGTTAATAGTTTTAAGTCATGCAGTTGTTTTACATGAGTGAGAATTAAAGAATGGTGAGGAATCTTTGTTTTGGATTTACGTTTATTTCAACATTTTGAATGTTTTGCTTTATTTCTTATTGCTGTATTGGCTGGTGCTTACTACCTTGCCAAGTGATTAGGTCGTCATCGTGCTGACATATTGTTGCTGATGTACATCAGCATAAAGACCATTATTGATTGTGAGGAGAATTCATGAAAACAACACATTGACCATCCGGATTTCTTTTTAGGATTAGTTCCAGGTTTCATGGACTTAGTATCAGTAGCATTAATATTACCCATGAAATTCAAACAGGAAGAAATCAAAGCTCTTAAACATTTATTGCATGTCCTGTATTGCTTGTCTGAACACTGTTACTCTTAAGATCTTGTGCTTTTCTCATTTATTACCTTTTAACTTGAAATGAAAGTTTCATTGTGGGTGACTGACTTTATTTCTGTAAATAGTAGTTCAGTCTTAAAAGAACTGAACAAACCAGTTTTTGTACAGTTGAGAAATAAAGTTGCGTATTTCAGATATGGTTAAATCATCATGATTTGTGGCATTATAGATACTACCCAAAATAGATTTTTTTTGGGGGGGGGGGCATGAATTTTCTAGGTACATTGTTCCTATTGACATATATTGAGTTTTTACTGAAGTTGGTAATAACAATGATTTTTATAAAGCAAAATATGCTATTTTAGATTACAGTCCAAATGTTGACATGAGGATTTCTACAAATTTACAGTGTTAGATGTATGTAAACTTAAAACCCAAGCTGCTTAATGAGAAGTGAGTTTCTCAGTACTTCTTACTCAGTAGCTAAATTAAACAGTAGTTTGCATACTGTTGAGCTGGAGAAGAACAGGTTGGACAGGGCCTATGAGGCTTGATTTTTAAATCCTAACCCTTCAGACACTGGAATGCTGTTAACATTCTCACCTAGTGGCTTTTCCAGGCTTCTCACTGCAGGTAGTCTGTCACCCACAGCAGAGGGCACTTCTGATTTAATCAATACTACACCATTTTTCCACCACCTGTATAGAGAAACTCCCTTTCAGATTTATACAAAGGAATTTGAACATGCATGCACATGCGTTTTCTTCCTCATATCTCCGCAATTAATTTTGCAAAGCGTCTCTTTAGTTTTGAGTGTTCTAACACAAGATTGTGTTGCGTTGATACTAGAGAAGGTTTGATGGCTGGGAGTGAATGAAACAATGCAAAAAGCACAAGATTTAAAAGCAAATAAATTAGATTTTTGATTATTTTAAACACATGAGGATTGATTTTTGTAGTCCCTTAGCGTATAGAGTTTGCTCCATGGAATAGCTGCAGAATAAAATCTCTGAGAACTGGAAATACCTATAGCTGCTATTTAGAATACTCCATGATCCTTGTTTCTACCTATTAGGTTGATGAAAAGTTCCTTTATACAGGGATATTAGGCAATGTCTAATAGCTGTTTGGTCTTGGGCTGCACAGTTAGGAATTGCATGCATTTTTCCATAGCACAATTCATAAAGTAAAGTTAATATATTGTAATAAAATGTCACATACTGTAATAAAAGTACTTAATAAAGGAATTCTATGTTTCCATAATTTATTTCGAGCTATGTTCTCAACAAAACACTTAATACATACCAAGCAAGTACATAATTATTCTTAAGATTATCTCATTATATTCAGACTCAGCTTCTCATATCTAAAATTCACAGTCCCCATAATTAAGACCAACTCCACCCTGAATGTGCTTGCAGTCATATCTGGTTCTGCTCCTCAGTAGTCCCCTTGAAGGCATAACTACTATTTCTGATTTTAAAGTTGTCTATTTGCAAGATTGAGAGCTGTGCAGCTGGATACCTTTCTTTTTTATAATATATTTTCTTAAAACTCCTAGTCTGGTTTTTCATTTAGTAGCACAAAGTTGTGTCACTCAGCTGACATGGAAGTTGGAGAAATATCAGTGGAGCCACAGCATTAGTGTATTTCTACATTTCACTATGAAAGAATACTGAAGGTGGGATATAACTGCAACAATACTCAAGATAGAGCAACATAGCTGTGTTGCTTCCAGCACTGTGCTAGAGTTTGCTTAGGACTAGGTTAATACTGTTACAAACATCTACACTGGAGTGAATTGTTCAATAACTCATGTAACTTTTTAAGAAGTTTTGTTTAGTATGATTATTACCTCTTTTAGAAAACAAGTCTCTCTTTCCAATTTAATACTAATCAGATTATTTGTCCTGATTTCTAGTGGAATCAGATCTGTAGTACCAGGGGTAGAAGGTATGCAAGTCCAAATAACTTTAGTGTGGTTGATTTCAGTCAAGTTTGACTGAGGTATACAGGTGTCAAAAATAAGTTGCTACAGGTTTTGTGTGACTAAGGAGCTGTGAAGAGGAAACAAACTCCATCTGTGTCTTGAATGTGGAAAAAGTTGTGGCATAAATGCATATATTAATAGACACAAGATAATCTATGTAGACCAGTACATTGCCTTATAAATGTATATCATACAGTGGGAAGAGCTTTAATTCGTACAAGCAAGCACCTCACATCCGATCAGAAGGACGTTGGGTCTGATTAGCCCCAGCGCTGACTGGATTATTTGTTAGTGCCTTTTGCTTCTTTTGTTCTTGTTACTGTGACTTGGCAAACATCTTTATCACAACAGAATCTGGTCTCTTATATTTGAATAGGAATGACATTCTCTATTTTTCAAAGAAGTAGTTTTACACAAATTATATGCCAGTGGGTTGAGTATATGACAAATAAGGCCATAATTGAAAATAGTATTTCTGCAGATTTCAGTACATTTGCTGATGTGCTATCTTAGGTTTATTTTACTATAAGTTGAAGAAATAGTACTCTTCACAGCTTATTGGAAAGAGATAATGAAGAAATATCCTTAAATGTTGCTTTGGAATATACCACATAACACTGATTTCAGGATATCATTTCTTCTTGCATTCTCTCTTCGTCTTTGCTCACACCGATAAGGAAGATGAATGTCTATCTCTTTTTTTTTTTTTCCC